TCGATGTGCCCATGGACGAAGACAATCCTCGCGACAGTGCCAACGCCGAAGTCTTCTATCACTTCGCCGACAACGGTTACGTAACACCTGCGACAGTCAACACAAACGAAGCAGAACGGATATGGCCAAATTTCATACCCGATCCAGAAGCGGGAGACGAAGCAGCTTATCCCGAGGATCCAACACTCCCCCGATACTCACAGACTGGACTGCAAATCCTCGGCCTCGTCACCGCAGTCCACGGCAATGCACTTCCTAAGGAGCCTGCGACGGTTCAGCAGGCTCTGGGGGGGGAACACAGGGAGAAATGGCGCGAAGCCATGGACAGAGAATTAAAGGCACTGGAGGAACGCAACACTTGGAAGGTCGTTCCCGCAAGCGTGGCAAGGAACAAGACCATTCTCACCGGGAAATGGGTCTTCCGCATCAAAACGAAAGCAGACGGCACAATCGAGAAGTTCAAAGCACGCTGGGTCGTGCGTGGATTCGACCAAGAGCAAGGACGAGACTTCACCGAGACATTCGCCCCAGTTAGTCGACATACCTCTCTTCGAATTCTTCTCGCCGTTGCCGCCATGAAGAAGAAGAAACTGCGACAAATCGATGTCGCCAACGCATTTCTCTACGCACCCGTCGACGCCGAAATCTTGGTCGAACTCCCACACGGTACCCACGGAAACCCCAAACAGGTCTGCCAGCTACTGAAATCGCTCTACGGAATCAAACAAGCCCCGCGGCTGTGGCAACAGCACCTACACACCCGACTCACTCGCATCGGATTCCGCCAACTGCCGCACGACCAAGGAATGTATCGATTCACTAAAGACGCCGATTACATCCTACTGATCGTCTACGTCGACGACCTACTCTACATCGGCTCCACCGACGACATCACCACCTGGTTCGAAGGGGAGCTGCAGAAGGACCTCACGCTCACAGTTTCTTCTACCGTCACCCAGTACCTCGGGCTCAACATCCGCGAAAAAGAAAATGCTATCTACTTAAGCGCCGAGAAATATGCCGACACTATCTCCAAGCGCTTCTCGCTCACACCTACCGCTATCGCCACGCCATACCGCTACACGGCAGGAAGTAACAAAGGAAATTCCGCTCCACTCAAGGCTGCCGGAATACGAGACTACCTGAGGAAACTGGGCTGCCTCCTCTTCGCAGCCGTCATCTGCCGCCCGGATCTATCTTACTCCGCAAGCCAACTCGCTACCTACCTCAAGAAAACCGAAGCAGAGCACCTGGCGGAGCTCGATCGCGCACTACACTACTTCGTGAGCACTCCGACGATCGGCCTGACTTACTACAAAAATGAAACTACGACCACGAAACTAATCGGCTACGTCGATGCCGATCATGCCGGCGATTCCGACAATAGGCGCTCTCGCACTGGCTACGTCTATCGTCTCGAGCCTATCGGACCTATTTCCTGGCAGTCGAGCAAGCAGGAACTAATCGCTCTCTCTTCAGCTGAAGCAGAATATATCGCCCTCTGCTCAGCCACCAAGGAAGGACTCTACCTTCGCGAGCTGCTGGAAGAAGCAAGGTTAGCCGAGTTACCCAACTTCACCCTATTCTGCGACAACCAATCTGCAATTCGCATCGCCAACAAAAGCGGATTCGCGAACAGAACGAAGCATATCGCTCTGCGATACTTCTTCGTGAAAGACGAGATCGAGAAAGGGAAACTCGAATCATCCTACTGTCCCGTCCGAGATGGCAGCCGATTACTTGACCAAGAAACTCGGAAAACAGAAGTTCGAGTACTGCATGCTGCTGACTGGACAAGGCCACGTCACCATTAACGACACTCCAGAAGCGAAGGGGAGTGTTGGGAACAATAAGTCTTAAAGCGCCTCTGTCGTGTCGAAACTCAGGACACAAGCGAAGCAGTCCAAATCGAAGCATCGCGAGTCAACCCTCGGAGGTTAGGGTAACCGCTTGGAGGTTACGCGAAGGTCAAAAGTCAGCGACCTTTGACTTACTTGACAAATACAGCGCGTCAGCAAGGACACACAACTGACTCGACATTGAGCAGTTGCCCGAGTCGCACTGTATCGAATCGCAACAGCAAAACAGTTTAATTATATCTATTCGTATTCCTTGTACTCTTATATAAAGCCTTGTATTTGCTTGTTTTAATTAACTTACTTTGCCCTCACATACTAGCGCAAGGTGGTTCAAGGACTTTTCATTCAAACGCTTCCGCTATTACAATCCTACTTAGACTTCAACTCTACAAAGATCCTAGGGCATCTCAGCCCAACAGCATCGAGGCTCGGGCTAGTCCCGAAACGTAGGCCGACACGGCCGGGCCAGCGGTGCATGGTTTGGTGAAACAGTGCGCGCGAAGTCGGCAAAGCCCTCTTAGCAGTAATAGGCAAACAACGGTTGTTGCTGTACGCGCTGTTGCGGGATGCGCTAAGGAATGTCGAGAAAATTCATTACACCCCCCCCCCCCCCCCCCCCCCCCCCTCCCCTCCGCTACGCGAGTGCGTGTATATCGTAGAAACCCCGGCTCCTCAGGTAAACTTGCAGGGCCGGGTGGTTTTCGATGTTGGCCAGGGGCACCCAGCTATCCTCAGTTGGTGAGTGGTCCTTCCAGCGAACGAGGAACTCGATCCTACTACTTCCCGTAAGATGGCGAATCCGATGGCTCAGAATCTTTTTGGGCTCGATGATCGACTCCGATGCAGGGCGAGTCATGGATGGCGGGCGGTGACGAGGCAGTTGGCTTGTGGTTGGGATGTAGGGGCAAAGCAGGCTGACGTGGAATGATGGGCTGATGTACCAGTCTGTCGGCACTAGTAAGTGAGTGGTCACTGGGGTGATCATGTGGCCGATTTGGAAGGGTCCGCAGTAGCGCGGTCGTAATTTTGGTACGTGACTGGGCGGCGGTGGCGGTTAGCGTTACGTTTTGCGATGACATTGACATGTTTATTGCTTCAGCGGCTCTGGTGTGAGCAGCTTGCAGTATCTCGGCAAATTGTTGTGCACGTGGCGTTGGGTTGTCCGGACTCGGCGTCATGGGTACTGTAGGGTTTTGCCCATAGTTCATGTAGAACGGGAACTGCTGCGTCGTTGCTGATGTGGCATTGTTGTAGGCAAAATCGATCAGCGGCAGCTGCTGCTCCCAAGTTGTCGGTTGTAACACGTGGCCCGAATCAACTGTTCCATCGTCTGATTGGTCCGCTCCGTTTGACCGTCGGTCTCGAGGTGATATGACGAGCTGAACTGTAGCCTGGTCCAGAACTGCTCCCAAAGGTTCTTCCAGAAGTTGCTGGTGAACTTCGTGCCGCGGTCGCTGATTATCGCGGCTGGTATCCCGTGCAGTCTAACGACGGCTGCGATGAACAGGCGAGCAATTTCTTCGGCTGAGATCGATTTCTTGCACGCAGCGAAGTGTGCCATCTTCGTCAACCTGCCAACGACGACCATAACCGCGTCATTACCCCCAGGGTTCGAAGGTAACCGTGTGACAAAATCCATGGTAACCTGTTGCCAGGCGCGCTCGAGCGGTGGAATCGGCTGCAATTGACCCGCCTTTCTTGTTTGCGAGCTCTTCATCACCCGACACATAGGACACGAGCCCACGTGGTGCTATACGTCTGTCATCAGCTCCGGCCAGTACTAATACCGCTGCAGTTGCTGTTGCGTTTTTTCTACCCAAAATGTCCCGAGGTAATTCCGTCATGTGCCTCCTGTGGTAACAGCTCCCTCAGTAGTGAGTACGCGGGTACCCAGATGCGATTGGTGCTTGTTTTTACATAATAGTCTCCTTTAGCTTCTGCTAGTTGCTGTGAATTTCCAGTCGTGAAAAATGGGTCAACCTGTATCCGTGGGTGAATAGGCCTGTTAACAGTGGGTTGGTTTGGGCGAGTAGTGTCAGGCATATATGCTATAGTCTGCGTAGGCTGTAGTGGGGCAGTTCATATGGGGTACAACACTTTAGGGTTTACTACTTGTACTCCTCATTCTGCTCAATGCATTCATTCCTCGTTTCTTATCATGGTATCGAGCAGGTTCCCTAGTGGGAACGTTTCCTAAGGCCCACCACGATTTTTTTTTTCCTGCCCGGAGCGCGCTTCGCTCCTACCCGAGTCGCGCTCTGTGTGCCCTCCCTACCGTCGCGCCCTCTCACGGCCCCTTCGCGTCGCCTTTAGCGACCCCTCTCACGGCCCCTTACGCCGCCCTTATGGCCCCTCGCGCTGCCCTTAACGGCCCCTCGCGCCGCCCTCTACGGCCCCTCGCGCCGCCCTTACGGCCCCTTACGCCCCCCCCCCGCGACGCCCGTCGGCTCCCCTCGCGGCGCCCTTACGGCCCCTTACGGCCTCGTCGCCGGCCCGTCTAGGCCCCTTACGGCCCCGTCGCCGCCCCGTCTAGGCCCCGTACGGCCCCGTCGCCGCCCCGTCTGGGCCCCTTACGGCCCCGTAACGGCCCCGTCTATGCCCCTTGCGGACCCTCTGTGGCCCCGTCTAGGCCCCGTGCGGCCCCTCTACGGCCCCGTCTAGGCCCCTTGCGGCACCTCTGCGGCCCCGTTGCGGTCCCTTGCGGCCCCTCTGCGGCCCCGTCGCCGCCACCTGCAGCCCCGTCACCGTCACCTGCGGCCACCCCGCCGCCATCTGCAGCCCCGTCGCCACCACCTTCGGCCCCGTTGCCGCCAACTGCGGCCACGCAGCCACCACCTGCGACCTCGCCGCCACCTGCGGCCCTGTCGCCGTCACCTGCGGCCCCGTCGCCCTCCCCTAGCCGCCACATTGCTGCATCTACCGGCCTTGTCACCACTCAGCCGCCCAGCGACCGAGCCGCCGAGCAGCCCAGCAGCCGAGCCGCCCAGCAGCCAAGCCCCCCACCTACCGAGCAGCCGAGCCGCCATGCAGCCGAGCCGCCCAGCAGCCGAGCCGCCCAGCAGCCGAGCCGCCGAGCCGCCCTACTGTCGATCCGCTAATGTTCCTACTCGTGAGCTCACTCCCTACTAGGCCAATACAGTCATGGCTACCCCCAGTGTCCTTACTTTTCATGCTGAGGGCCGTGCCGTTGACTTTGAGGTCTGGGTCGATGACCTCCAGCTGTTCCTCCACTACGATAGGGCAGACGGCCTCTCTCTGTTCGACCTCACCTCTGGTGCCTCCCCTGCTCCGCTTGCTACTGCTGACAGCACTGTTCGCTCACAGTGGGCGACACGCGATGCTGCTGCCCATCTTGCTGTGCGTCGCCACTTACCGACCACTGAGCGTGCACACTTTAGCCACTACAAGAGTGCTCAGACCTTGTACGACGTTGTAGTTGCGCGCTACTCTTCCCCTGCCACTGCTGCAGTGATCCGCCTCATGCTACTGTACCTCTTCCCTGACCTTGCTGCCTTTCCCACAGTCGCTGACCTCATTACGCACCTCCGCACTAGTGACACTCGCTACCGCGCTGCGCTTCCTGCTGAGTTCTATGCCAAGAACCCCCCCCCCCCCCCCCATGTACATCACCCTCTACTACATAGTCACCCGGCTCCCTGACTCTCTCCGCGTAGTCAGGGACCACTTCCTCTCAGTTTGCCCCACCACTCTCACCGTTGACCTCCTAGCACAGAGAAGAGCATAGTCGATGTAGGAGCCTCTCGTGGTGACCCTCGCACCCCCGTCTTTGAGGGGTGTTCCCCCTCCACCCTCTTGCCCTCTGTTGCTTCTGCTGCTGCGGCCGACCTCGTTGGTTTCGAGTCGGTCGGCGCTGCGTCTGCCCCTAGCGGGAGACGCCGCACCGGCAAGGGAAAGGGGGGCAAGGGCGCTGGAGGGGCTGGCGGGGGCGGTGGAGGTGGTGGTGGAGGCAGTGGAGGGGGTGGGGGTGGTGGTGGGAGTGGTGGCAGGGGTGGCAGCGGCGGTGGCAGCAGTGGAGGCGGAGGAGGCGGCGGTGGTGGCGGAGGGAGCAGAGGCGACGGAGGTGGCGGAGGAGGCGGAGGTGGAGGAGGCGGCGGAGGCGGCGGCGGCGGCGGCGGTGGTGGAGCGGGTCGCGACTCTGCGCAGAGGAGTGGGTCAGGTGGTGGTCCGCGCCAGCAGCAGCGGAGTGGTGTGACTCTGTCCCCTCAGCAGCTTCGTGAGTGGTACGCTGCGCGTCAGCGTGGTGGGGGTACTGAGAAAACTGAAACGAGAATGATTGACTAAGGAACGAAAGTGGTACAAATATGCAACCCTAGAAATGTGTACCCCATATAGGCTACCCCAGTATAGCCTACACAACATTATAATTTGACACACCCCCATAGGCAAAGTGGGGGAGAACAAGGGGTCACAAGACCAGTCAAGCAAAACAAAGCAAAGCTCAGGGTGGATCATAAAGTCACCACACATTCTGAGCACAAGTTCAAGGCCAGAAGGTCAGTTCACATGCAGCAACACATATATATATAACAGGCTAAACAAGCAAGAGCAGGAGTATATATATATGTCACAGTACAAGCAAGGTCAAGAGGTGAGTAAGTGAGGCAAGACAGGTACAAGACCAAGCTGAGTACAGAAGGGCTAATGATCACAAGGCGCAAGTGCCTTAGTGAAGATATCAGCAGTGTTGGCCTCAGAGGCCACGTACGCAAGTCGCAACTGACCACGCTGCTGCAGCTCACGAGCAATGTGCTTCGTTTTGTGCTCCACGCGCTGCTCCCGACACAAGGCCAGCATGGCCTTGTTGTCTACGTACAGCACTGGAGGAGAACGAGGCGGCTCTTCGAGGTAAGTCAGCAGGTAGGTGAGCCAGCGAAGCTCTTGAGCAGCCATGGCTCCAGCGTAGATCTCAGCCTCACAACTGGAGCCGAGAACAGAAGACGAGCGAGTAGCCCGCCACGAAACAGAGCCGGAACCAAGGCTGAAGGTGTAACCTTGTGACGACCGCTGTGTAGCCTGGTCGTCAGCCCAAGAAGCGTCTGCGTGCCCAGTGAGGACCACTGGACTCCGCCCTCCAAGCACTAGCCCCATGCCCGACGTACTTCACAAGTAGCGCAACACCCTCTTCGTTGTAGCCATGTGCTCAGGTTTGTGTCTCCCAGGAGCAACATAGCGTGCAAGAATGCTAAGAGGGTATGCAAGGTCAGGTCGTGTGCAGGTCATCAGGTACATGAGGCAGCCAACAAGCTCTGGGTACGGGCCACTCGACTCTACGGACTCATCCGAAGGCAGAGCTGAGAGCGAGTGGCGAGTAGGCGCAGGAGTGGCCTGAGGCGAGGAGTACGTGAAGCTGAAGCGCTGAAGGACCTGCTGCACCATGTGTGACTGAGTCAGGGTAATGGTGCGGCGTGCTCTGTCCCGGGTGATCTGCAAGCCAAGGTAGCTGCGCAGTTCACCCAGGTCTGTGCACGTGTGTCTCTTCTGCAGCTCGGACTTCACGTGGGCGAGTCCAGCAGTGTAAGCAATGGCAAAGACCAAGTCGTCGACGTACACGAGAATGTAGAACGTCGGCAGAGAAGTGTCGGTGCGCAGAAACAGCGACGAGTCAGCAGTAGAGGGAGCAAACCCAAGAGCCGCAAGTGTAGTCCTCAGTGTGTCGTGCCACTCGCGAGGTGCCTGGCGGAGACCGTAGACTGGCCGTTGGAGGCTCCACTGGGTGCCAGGAGGGAAATTCCCAGCGAAGCCAGGTGGACGGCGTAGCCAGATCTTCTCGTGCAGGCTACCCTGTAAGAAAGCAGTGCTGAAGTCAAGGGAGTGAAGCTCGTAGTCACGCTGAGCGGCTATGTGTAGCAACACCCGAAGAGTGGTCATCTTCGGGGTGGGAGAGAAGGTCTAAAAGTAGTCAACTCCTTGCCGCTGACTGAAGCCACGAGCCACGTACTGCGCCTTGAAGACAGGTGGAGTACCTGGCGGACGCTTCACCCTGAAGATCCACATCCCACTGACGATGTTCGCCCCAGGAGGGGGAATCGCGTCAACGTAGGTGCCTGTGGACTTCCAGGAAGCCATCTCTGCATCCATAGCTGCCTGCCACTGAGAGGAGTAGGGACCCTCTACGGCCTCCGCGTAAGAGCGCGGAGTCGGGATGTCAAGTGCATCCGGGTCTCCCTCAGGGGTAAGCAGTACGGACACGAGATGAGGTGAAGCAGCAGCCAGACACTGGAACTCCTCCTGCCTGTCCTCAAGGACGTCCGTGCCAAGAGCACACTCACCCCCGGCGGACGGAGGACAGACAGACGCAGACTCAGCAACAAGACTAGCAGCGTAGTCTAGACGACAGCGAGCAGCAAATTCGACGAGCTCAGCAACAAGAGCAGACGCAGCAGTGGACTCAAAGGAGGTGTCAGTGACGACAGTAGCAAGGAGACGCGTGACAGTAGGACTGGCAGCACGAAGAGAGTCCGACTCCGGGTCGGCAAGTGCCGGAAGAGAGGACTCAGGAGGAGAAGGTAAAGGGGCACGCAGAGGAGCAGTGGACGGACGCAGAGACATCCGGTGCGTGCCAGGGACAGGAGGAGGACGCTGACGCGAACCGCGACCACTAGTACGAGCAGCACGAACAGGCGACGCAGGACGAGACGCAGGCTCACGATGCTCAGCAAGACCTCCAGTAGGACCAGTGTAGGGAGAAGGAGCAGGCAGTGAGGAGGCCGGCGAAAGCTGTGACTGGGACTGGACAGGTGGTGGACACTCTAAGGGAGGAGGAAGACCAAGAACCTGCTGAAGGAGCGGAATGAAGTACGGCCGAGGCCGCGCGGCGACTCCAGACACAGCAGGGACAGCACCAGCGCCAACACCACCGTCAGCTGCAGGACCTCCAGCAGGACCAGCAGCACCCACAGCAAGACCAGAGCCAGCAGCACCTCCAGCAGCACCAGCAGCACCCCCAGCAGAAATGTCTCCAGGACTGACAGCAGTAGCCTCAGCGCCAACACCCTCAGCAGCTCCTGCTCCAGGCGAACCCGCAGGCCCAGCAGCTCCAGTACTCGCGGCACGAGCACCTCCGGGACCGGCGGCACTAGCACCCTCAGCAGCCGAAGAAGCTCCAACAGTACGCCTCCAGCACCGGGCAAACCACTCACGCAGCTCATGTGGAGAGAGTGGCTCCCGCCGAGGCGAAGCACCCGGAGAACCTCCAGGCCCAGCACCGCCAGACGCCACACGAGTAGGCCCAGCGGCCGCCGGCTCTGCACCCCCAGGCTCAGCAGCTCTAGACGTGGCACCCCCAGGCTCAGCACCTCCAGACGTAGGACCTCCAAGCTCAGTACCCCCAGGCGTAGCACCCCTAGGCTCAGCACCCCCAGGCGTAGCACCCCCAGGCTCAGCACCTCCAGGCGCAGCACCCCCAAGCTCAGCACTCCCAGCAGTACCACCCGAAGGCCCAGCACCCTCAGGCGTAGTACCCACCCGCGCAGCACCCCCAGAGTCAGCACCCCCAGGCTCAGCACCCACAGCAGCACCAGAGTCACCACTAACCTCGACCGGCTCGACCGCGTCTACCTGGGACACACCTGAAGGGGCAAGACCCTGAGGGGGGAGGGGGTCTACCGGGGGGGACCTGGCACAAGGAAGAGCGGTGGCGGGGGGAGGGAAGGAGTGCGGTAGGGGAAGAGGCGGTAGTAGGGGACCGACTCGTCAAACGTGACGTCCTGAGAGGACAGAACACGACGAGAGGTGGGGTGGTAGAACTGCCACCCTGGCGCGTCAGGGGGGAAGCCAAGGAAGACACAAGGAGCAGCACGAGGGGACAGCTTGTCCGCAGACAAGTCGCGGACAAACGCCCGAGATCCCCAGACATGGAACGCAGACGCATCGCCTACCTTCCCCGTCCACAGCAAAGCTGGGGAGGTCTCCGGCCTGGAGACCCTGGGGTGAAGGTTGATCTGATGCGCCGCGTACCGAACCGCAAACGGCCACAGAAATTGGGGGGCAGCCGCATGCATCATGGACGTACGAGCGACGTCCATGACCATGCCAATGCGGCGCTCAGCAATCCCATTTTGCTGTGGAGAGTCCCGAAGCGTAAAGGTCTGGCGGATGCCTCGCGCACGGCAGTAGGCTCGCAGAAGGCCAGAGGAGAACTCTCCGCCTCTGTCAGAGTGCAGACGCAGAACAGGAAAGTCTGAGCCAAAGCTCTGCCTGAGCTGGAGACGAGCTGCGCGGATCCAGTCAATCAACACCTCAGTGACATCGCCCTTGCTGCGCAAGGGGAAGACTGTGGTGTAACGCGAGTAGTCGTCAACCACCAGCAGAAAATAGCGATCGTGACCCTGTCCACGGACGCGGGCCGGGCCCCACACGTCCATATGAAGCGTCTGCAGCGGGGCCTCTGTTGGGGGAAACGGAGAGGAGTGAGGAGCAGCCCGTAGCCGCCCCTCGACACAGGGGACACAGGAAGGACCAGGCCCCGAAGGAAGGGGAGGGAGGGACCGGGGAAGACCAGAGACAAGGACACGGGAAGCCATGCCTCGGAGACGAGGCAGGGAGGGGTGACCAAGACGCTAGTGCCACAAGAGAGTCTCGTGAGACAGGAGGCGACACGAGCAGGGGGCAGACTCAGGACCAGACCTGGACGCTGCAGCAAACACCTGACCCGACGCAGCTACCTGACCAGACGCAGGGACAGGAGGAGACTCAGTGGTCAGGGTGTAGAGGCTCGACCCCGGCCGACGCGTAAACGTGGCCTGGTGCCGGCCAGTGCGAGCGGACGAGCAGTGGGTCACCCGCTAACTCGCAGGAGTAAACTGGTGAACCCCCGCATCCTGCAGGTCATCACCACTCACCAAGTTCGTAGAGAACGAGGGGAGGTAAAGACCAGACAAGGTGCCAGAGGGGGCAGCCGGACACGGGAGGACACTGGAGAAGTGAGAGAGGACAGGACCCCCAGAGGGGTCTGCCAGGGAGACTGCAACCGGCCGACCAAGCGGCGTGAGTGTGGTGCGGTCTCGAAAGAAGGAGCGAGAAGCCCCTGAGTCAAGTGTGAAGGTGAGGGAGGCCGAAGCAGACGTGGTACCTGAGAGCGCAGACTCACCAGTACCTGAGGACAAAGACGCACTGGCACCTAGAGCAACAGCCGCACTAGCACCTAGAGCAGCACCCTCACCAGTACCTAGAGCAGCAGTCTTAATGCCCGGA